AATTCTGTCTTTTTTTTTTTTTTTTTTTTTTTACCCTATTTGTGAGTTGTTTGAGTCATACAATTAAAAGACAGGCCTAACTATGCAAAACACACTAACTTTTCTCCATTTTTTCTGTATACAAACCAAATGTGCTTATATTTTATTATTTAGTTTGCTTCAAATTTGTTTCAACAAACATCATTGCTGGAAGCCAACACCCAGACTCACTAATTTAAGAAAAAACACCGTCTTCATTTAAGGTAACCGCCTGCAACTGTCCTGTAGTTTCCTTACTTGTCTACTTGAGCCTCGGAGAGGATCTGAAGCTGGCTAATCTTGCTCCTTAACTTGGCATTTTCTTCTTTTAGCTGCAAAAGAGTATTTTTATTAGGTCCAATAACCTTCACACACAAGAACCACCCCCAGGTAAAGACTTCAAATCTCCCATTTCTACACCTGAAAACACTTTGGCCTCCTCCAAGCTTTTCCTCACAAAGCTCAGCATCTCCAGCTCCGTTTCACAAGGGGGCACAGAGAGATGAAGAGAAACAGGTGCAAGGCTGGATAGAGATTGTACTGGTAGTCCTTACAATCTACCAATTTGTGACCCAATACTCATTTAACGCAAGCAGCAAATGAATTTGGTGGAGCACTGAGTACTATGCATCCTAATCATACTGCGAAGACAGAGGCAGCCTGTCTGAACATCGTGCACAGACCAACACAGGGATGCTTCAGAAGCCTTTATAGGAAGCCCCCAGAGAAAACAGGACTCTTGCATGTTCACATCCTACTGAAAACTTGTGACGCTGCATGGACCCAGGCATTCAGGCAGGTCAGGAGAAAGCCTGCACTTGTAACAACACAGGAAAAAGGATCAGGCTGTCTGCCCACCCACCTGCATCGCACAGCAGCAGAGGGCGGATGCTGAAGGGGAGAGCGAACAGGGTCTGACCTGGGTTTTTTTTTTTACCCCGTTCCTCTCACCTGCAGTCTCCGGTATTTAAGGTCTGGAAAGCTGATTCAGAAGCTGTGGTCCCTGCTCCCCCTCTGCCGGCCTCAGGTAGCCGGTGAGTGCCTGGTACTGGTGTGCAGGGGGGGGTTAAACATACACACACACACACCGTGTCACGCATGTACGTGTGTATACACCTCCCTCCCCAACACACATGCGCACACATGCATGCGTAAACACACACTCCCCCGACATACAAGTGCACACACAGCCTCCCTGTGTGTATGTATACACACACAACCCCCATGTACGTGCGCATGCACACTCCCCGATGTACAAGTGCACCCCAACATGTATGCACATGCACACGTAGACACACACTGATGTACAAGTGCACACCCCCCCACGTGCGTCTATACACACTCCCCCTAACATACAAGTGCACCTGCAACGTGTGCACACATGTAGACACTCCCTGACATACAAGTACACACACAACCCTCATGTCTGTATACACACAACCCATGCACGTGCACACCCCAACGTACACGTGTACACACAACCCGCCCAATGTGTGCACCTCCCACATGTATGTGCACACACTCCCCCGATGTACAAGTTCACCCCAACATGTGCGTACACGCATCGAAACACTCCCCAACATACAAGTGCACACACAATCCGTGTACGTATACACCCCCCATGCATGTGCACACACTGACATACAAATGCACCCCATGTATGTGTGCACACACACGTAGACACCACGCCCGACGTACAAGCACGCACCCAACCCGCTCCCCCGTGAATCTATACACACACAACGCCCCCCCCCCGCCCCATGTATCTACACTCGCACACACGACTGACCTCCCCGTAGGCGGGCGGCGGGAAGCTGAGGTCGGGCAGGGAGTCCCCGCGAGGCAGGCACCGGGGAGGGCGGGCGGCAGGGTCGGGGGACGAGGCGCTGCCGACGCAGGACCCGAGCGCATCCACCTCCTCGGCCGACGGCCGGTAGCTCGCGCTCCACTCCCCGTCCTCC